CATCAGAGCAGCCCGCCCAGGGAAGACCTTTGGTCCTGGTGATACTGGGTGAGGCAGCTTACATGGCCTGGTAGTTTCTTCTTACTTCTCAAGATTCTGCAAGTGAAGGGTTAAGCAGACCTTCACATTTTACACTGTAAGCACTTTTAGGTTCTGTCCACTGTAAAACAGAACTAGGATGACTGTTTGGAAAACACAAGTTGCCCACATAACAGTGGTTAATCTAGTTTGATTTTTCTAAAGCGGCACAGAGAGAAACTTATTTTTGCACGAACATAAATAAACATGTGCTGTAGCCTGCAGTTCCCAGCCACATCCAGTATCTAGTGTGGGGTGACCTCACTCTTTCCCTTTGCTGCCTTACATGTGCACATACATAACACACACAGGATACACGCTTGCTGCCTTACATGTGCACATACATAACACACACAGGACACACGCTCCCTTTTTCCTTCCTACCCTAAAACGCTACCTGCTTCTGCTGGTCCCTTGCTGGGGATTTCACCCAGAGTCTTGACATCAAAATGCTTGCTGATCCCGGCCCCTGCCTCACTGCTCTCACCACTGTATCCTAGCAACGGGAGGTAAGCCAGCTGAGCTGTTAGTTTTCCAACCACTTCAGCTTTCTCTCACTTGTCTATTGGGAAACCACTGAAGACTAGACTGGAAGGCAGCGTGAGTGAGGATGAGCATGTGCGGGAATGTGTGTGTCAGTCGCTTAAATGACACATGTCATCAGTGAGGCGTGGTGGGATTGAAAAGTGCCCGTTTACAGGAAGACCCCTGACGAACCCTAACTCTTACCATACACCATATACAAAAACTGACTCATAATGGATCAGAGATCTAAATGTAAAAAGCTAAAATGATAAAACTCTTAGAAGAAAATATGGAGGAAAAACTTTATGATACTGGATTTGGCATTGATTTCTCAGACATGACACTAAAAGCACAGGCAAAAGAAGAAAAAAATGGGTAGACTGGGCTACAGCAAAATGAAAACTTTTGTGAACAAAAGGATACTATCAGCAGAGTGAAAAGGCAACCCATGGAATAGGAGAAAATAATTTCTGAAACTATTAAGGAATTAATAGCCAGTGTATATAAAGAACTCCTAAAATGCAACAATAACAAAGCAAACCAACCAACTTAAAAATAGGCAAAGGAATAAACAGGAGATTCACCAAAGATGATACACAAATAGCTAACAAGCATAAGATGCTCAACTTCACTAACCATTAGGAGCGTGCAGATCAAAACCACAGTAACATATAGCCACAATAACATACCACTTCATGCCCATAAAGATGTCTATTATTTAAGACAAAACAGAAATAGGAGCTGACAGGAATGTGGAGAAGTTAGAACTCTCGTGCATTGCTGGTAAGAATACAAAATGGTGCAGCTGCTATGGAAAAATTCCTCAAAAACTTTATCACATGATCTACTAGTTCCACCACTGAGCTGGTGGAACTAGTTCCAAAAGAATTGAAAATAGAGATTCAAACAGATAGTAGTACACCCGTGATTATAGAAGTTTTATTCACATAGCCCAAAGGCAGAATTATCTCATATGTTCATCAGTGCATGAATGGATAAAATGTGGCACATATACAAAATAGAGTATTATTCAGCCTGAAAAGGGAAGGAAATTCTGAAACATACTACAATGTAGATGAACCATAAAAAATTAACACTAAGTGAAACATACTAGACCCAAAGAATAAATGTTGTATAATTCCTCTTATATGAGACTACCTGGAATACTCAAATTTATGGAGACAGAAAATAGAATGGTGGTTGACAGGAGCTGGGGAGAGGGAGAAATGGGGTGTTATTGTTCAATAGGTACAAAGTTTTAGGACAGGAAAATGAGATAGCTCTGGAGAGAGATGATGTTGTGATATTTGTACAACAACGGAAATGCATTTAATGTCCCTGAACTGTACACCTAAAAATGATTACAGTGGTAAATTTTATGTTATGGATATTTGACCACAGTAAAAAGAAAAAAAAAAAGAGAGTCGTGGAAAACCGGCAGAGTTAGTACGTGGAATAAAAAGGAGAAAGGAATGCAGGTTTTTAAGAGAAGATGGGAAAATTATTAGAAAAAATGATGTTCTAGATTATGCAGCGTTTTCTTCATGTTTATGATTCAAATGGCAAAGAGAGAAAACTGATCAATGTATTGGCTTATCAAATGAGACTTTTCAAGTGTGTGAAATCTAGTCTGAAAGTGTCCTTGTTCTAAGATTAAGAGTAAAGTTAGCTTGAGGTACTACTACAATTCCTTCATGCTTTTAGATATTGGAATCTGTTCCAACATATGTGTAATTTTTTTTCTAAGTACAGGACAAACCGATACTACAAGGTGACACAAAATCCTAGTAGAAAGGAAGCCAGCAAATATTTCTATCTACGATGTGTTAAAATGGAAGGGACAGTCTGCTCCAAAGAGAGGGCTCAATGGCCAGTGACATGCTTTCTTCCAAAGTTTGGTCCAGTCTTCCTGGCATTGCTCAGTAGTTGAGGCAAACCATCTTAACATTTCTGGTAGGTATAAGTGGTAATGGTGAAGCATAACTAAATATGCATGAGCTTAAACCTGTTACTCCTTAAACCTGTTCGATGTCTTCCAGTGTTTGAGAATCTGATTATATTTACCATCAGTACTAGTAGACTTTCACTGTGTTTGTGTTGAGGGGGGTGGCAATTGGTGAGGATGCCAATTAGATAGAACTAGTCTGTAGAAACTATCACCTTAAAATTCTAGTCGTGTGAATGCATGCTAAGTTGCTTCAGCCACACCCAACTCTTTGTGACCCTATGGACTGTAGCCTGCCAGGTTCCTCTGTCCGTGGGATTCTCCAGGCAAGAATACTGGAGTGGGTTGCCATTTTCTTCTCCAGGGGATCTTCCCCACACAGGGATCAAATCCAAGCAGACACTCCTTAGATACAGACAAATTGAACCTCTTTAAAAAAGAAGAAACAGGTCTTGATAAGTTGTGACCCATCCAAGTTTAAGTATTTTTGTTTGTTGTTTGTCTGAACTCACCAACTGAATTAAGCTTCTTGTAGACAATGAAAAGACCTTTTGTTCCCTGGAAGCAGGTGGAACAGATATGAACACAAGTGGTGGCATAAATGGCAAGTGAGTGACTGCAAGCCTCACGGGTGCATTCCCCTGTGAACAGGTCAGAGGCATCGAGGTGGACACAGCATCAACTGGATGATATTGTCTACTTCAGAGGCCTGGCATTAGTTAGGGCTGGGCTGGGTCAGGGGAGGGAACAGGCTTATATATCCTAACCTTCTCAGATCTATTTATGATTTTAAATCTTAATGTGAAAGAATGCAATCTGTACACGTGTACAGTGGTATGAACCTTGTCATATGTCATGTTTGGGGATGGGGATGGCAAGTATCCTTTAGTACATTTCTGGAGGATAGTTTGACAACCTCAATTACAGTAGTCATTAAATTAACAGTTCATCCTCAAAAAAATTCATTCTCATTAATTCCATTTATAGAAATTTAACCCAAGAAAATAATCAGAGACATGGGTAAAATTTATAGTTAGGTATGTTCACTACTGTGGTATTCATAGCACAAGGTAATGAACATCATAGTATGTATTTATATGTGATGTAACAAACCTTCAAAAATATGAAAATGGCTATAACAATTACAGCATAATTGTAGGCTAGAATATTTATTTCATGTTCTCAACTATGTTAATTTTGTTAAATTATATTTTAGAATATATGAAAATTTTTAAAAGGGCTTCCCAAGTAGCTAGGTGGTAAAGAATCTGCCTGCCAACGCAGGAGATGCAGGTTCCATCCCTGAGTCAGGAAGATCCCCTGGAGAACGAAATGGCAACCCATTCCAGTATTCTTGCCTGGTAAATCCCATGGACAGAGGAGCCCAGCAGACTACAGTCCACGGGGTCTCAACAGACTCAGACATGACTTAGTGACTAAGCAACAACAATTTTTAAAAACTTAAAAAAGGAATATACTACAGTGTTAATTGTGGTTATCTTTGAATTTTCGGATGGCAAGTAATTTTATATTATTCTTTAACTTCCAAGTTTCCTTTAATGAATATGCTCTGATAAAAAGAAAAAAAAATTTAATTAAAAACAATTTTAGCTCTCTGTGTCCCTGAAGTCAGTGGGCTATGTTCAGAACCCAGCCTAGAGGATGTGAAGAGAGACGTGGTGAGGCAGGGGGCTGGGGGTGGGAGGGGGAGGGAGAGAGTCGGGCGGCCAGTGTCACTAGTAGTTCCTCCTAACATGCAGGGATCTGCTGTCTCTACCTCTCAGAGCCAAGGGAGGGCTGTGGTTCCGGCTGGGAGGGCTGGCCGTCCAAGACTCGGGGTGAAGCTGATACAAGTAAACTTTTTCTTCTATGCCCCCTATCCCTACCATAGCATACCTGGGATTGTCACCCACAGAATAATGCCTTCTGACTGTGGAGGATTATAGAGTTGTCAAAGTGCATTTATATATATTGTAGTTCACAGGATTACCATGATTTGGAGAGTCTAACATAGTTATTTTTACCTTATATGACAGGTGAGGAAACAGAAATTAGAGGAGGCATACGGATTGTTCAAGGACATACCAGTAGCTCTAGCTTTTACAAAGGACCTTCCTTGCAAAAGTAATTTCAAAAGACCACTCTGAGTGAAATCACTTGAACTCATTTGGGGGAGGTTGGGGAGGGTGAGGGAGACAGATATAGATGCAGTACACAATTTCCCTTAATTTCTAAGATGCTCACATAGCGGCAGCAGTAGCTTCTCGTCTTGGTCCTCAAAGATGTAAACTGAGCAAAGAAATAAGGATTTATATTGTTGGTTCAAAATGACTTATCACGTCGTATGTACTAATGTTGTCAATAAACATACATCTGGTACACACTCTCTATACAGCAGATGTACTGGTTGATAAGAATGAAAACTTATCAAACTTTGGTAAGGTGTACTTACCAAAAACCACCAACTCGATTTCTGATCCTCTACACGATATAGAATAAGAATACACAGGAAGATTCAGGCAGCTTTCTTGGGATTTCTCAGTTCAGTTTTTGGAGTGCCCCTTGAGACAAATCCTAAGGAGTTAAAAAAAAAAAAAATCGCTAGGAATGTTTTCTATTTCAATAAAATTTTCATACATGCATTATGAATTTGGGGCCATTTTCTTCAAAAAATTAAACTAGTATTACTCTAATTAACATACTCTCTTCAGATCAAGAAACGCAACCTTTTATTCCTCCCCCTATCCTTGAAGAAACAGGGAACAGCCATAAGAAAATGACCAATTTCTTCCATTTGTGGTATTTCCCCCTCTGTCTGATTTAGAACCCTGCCTCCCCACCCCTGACTCCAAGATGAACAATACAGCGTTTAGGAATGAATACAGATGTAGCTTATATTTTATGCTTATAAACCCACAAGAAGAAGAGGTGGTACCCCTTTAAAGAGATGGTACTATCTAGCTCATGGACTCCCCCACCCCTATTTGGGAGCTTATGTCACACATCACTATGGATCATCACAGTCTTTCCTGTGAGATCCAGAGGGTCTCAAAAACCAGTGAAACAAGCACTTGGGCCCACCACCAGCAACTGATCAGAGCTGGTGTAAAAGAAACTTGTTATTCTGCCCAAAATGTGTAAGACTCTTTGGAGGATGTTATTTGCATGGAGTACTACAAAAAGTAGGATTTAGAGTCCTAGGATAATCTTGAAAGTCATAATATAGAAAGCATTCAAAAGAAACTTAAGTTCAAGAGAAAGGTATCTTAAAAGGGCATGTGAAAAATATGTATCCTGAGCACAAAACTTTTACCTTTATTTCACACCTGGAAAAATTAATAGAATCTGCCAAACTTCCGGGGTGTTCTCACCTAACCACGGAGGGCCCTCATGAAGCCACCTGGAGACCAGGATGACTGCCACAATCCACTATGGTGCAGCGGCTGCTACGCCACACTTGGAGCACCTGAGAAGGCTGGGATTTAATTCTAGCTCTGCCAGGCTTTGCTTTATGTTCTTAGGCAAATCATTTTACCTGGCTGAGCTAAAGTTTGCTCCCCTGAAGAAAAATAAAAAGAGTTGGATTACCGGTGGTTTTCAAACTGGTTTTTTAATAGCTGTTTTGCTTTGCTTTTTTTTTTTTTTTTAAGGTGTAGCGTCCTTTCTTCCACCAAAATTTTCCCTAGATACAGAAACAAACTGATGAAACAGGGGCTGGCTAAGCTGAAGTGGGGGATGGTATGGGGAAACATCTCCACCCATTCTGCTCCATCGTCCGTCCAGGCTGTGTGGGAACACCATAGGTTCTTTAGAACCACAAAGCACAATTTAGAAGCTGCCAATGAAACAGCCTTTTAAGTCAGTCACAGGCCTCCCAGGTGGTGAAGAACCCGCCTGCCAGTGCAGGAGACATAAGACACATGGGTTCAATCCCTGGGTTGGGAAGATCCCCTGGAGGAGGGCATGGCAACCCACTCCAGGATTCTTGCCTGGAGAATCCATGGATAGAGGGAGCCTGGTGTGCTGCAGTCCATGGGGTCACAAAGAGTTGTACACGACTGAAGTGACTTAACACACATGAACACAGTCAGTTACAGCTCCAAAATTATTCCACCATAACTATCTTTACATTGCAGTGACTGGCAAGGCATTCAGTGGGATCCATAACATTATAGGAACACAAGCAATAAAACTAAGCCATGAGCTGGCTTTAATCCTAATTATTAATGATCTACTAAAAATAAAGCCACACCCTCAAATAAATCATAGAATAATTGCTGTTAAACTCTGTACATCTCAAAGCATATAACCCTCATCTTTCTTAAACGTTGCATCCTAGATAATACCTAATGATCATCGTCACAGTGTTTGATAAAGAACAATAAATGTGGAAATTACAAGGTGTGTCCTGAAATTAATTCTGCCCTATCAAGACAACAGAATAAAATGTAAACTCCTGCACGATTCATTTACTATTTAAGTGAATCCTGACAAACTTACTCAACTTTTCTGGGCCTCAGTCTCCATATCCATAAAGTGGAGCGAATTCCTTGTGGGACTGTATGGAAAACAGAGAAAATACTTATAAAAAAAACCACTATTTCTGGCACATAATATTGGTGCAAAATTGTAAGCTTTCTCTCTATAATGGCAAATGTTTCCCTTTGAAAAATAATATCATGGTAATGGAGATGTAAACTCTATGAAGTGGAAGCATATTATTAATATATAAATGAAACTATAGATTTTACATAGTTTTGTGCTAAATCTTAATGATGGAAAGGATTACTGAAGTGCCTCTCATGGCAATTCAAGTAACACAAAATTTCCCGGGGGGGAAAAAATACTTAGGACTATTTATTTACCGAAAAACCTGATTTTCCAGAATGACTCCAAACACAAGTCATCTCATAAATATTTTAATACTATTTTATCATGAAAATCTTCAAGCAAAACCCAAATGCCACTTTTTTCCTGTCACTCCACACTCATCCTGACACAACATTGGGTGTCCTGGGGCACCCCATTTAAGAAGTCCATCTCTAGTTTAAGTCCTCCATTTTACTATGGAGTAAACTGTCTTACTGAAGGTCACATAAGATTTGTGGGGAAGTTCATAGAGAAACAAAATAGTTTACAGACAGAAACTGGGTTAATGCATTCACTCCAACCCCTCACTCCTTGTTCTGTGAAAAAGCTACAGATAGTGTCCATCATAGGCTTCCTGGGTGGCACTGGTGGTAAATAACCCACCTGCCGATGCGGGAGAATAAGAGACACGGGTTCATTCCCTGGTTCAGGGAGACCCCTGGAGGAGGGCACTGCAACCCACTCCAGTGTTCTTGCCTGGAGAATCCCATGGACAGAGGAGTCTGGCGGGCTACGGTCCATACGGTCACAAAGAGTTGGTAGGATCCGATGGCAATCTTCTGTTGAGCTTACGACACCTATGGCATCATCTTCATTTGCCTGCCCTGATTTCCGCCCTCTCTATTTTGTCTACCATATGTATTTTTGAAAGCTGTTCAAATCTATTTTTGGAATGAGGTGCAAGGTATAAATAAAAATGTGAAATTAATAACTGTCTTTTTTCCAAAAGGAGGCTCCAGTCTAGTATCAAGTTTCATGTCACATTCTGCTTCTTTCAACTCTCAAGCATAAACTGAGGCTAAAAATAACTTTCTCAACCCCAGTCATCCACCAAGGAATGAGAATTCTGTTTCTTAAAAAACAAACTGGGTCTAAACATAAACCAAATGTCCACACCCCAGGACAATAGAATAAGAGTCTGAAGGGAAGGGCTTACCCACTCCAGTATTCTGGCCTAGAGAATTCCATGGATTGCATAGTCCATGGGGTCGCGAAGAGTCAGACATGACTGAGCGACTTTCACTTTCACTTTTCACTAAAGCTACCCGGAGTCCACCAGAGCGAGCGTCTGGTTCGGGCTTTGCCAGCAGCAGTCTGAGGCCCTGTATGGGCACGCCACTTAGCTTTCTGGCCTCAGCATTCCTTACCAGCAAACTGAAGCTGATATTAATGCCACAGGTGACAGTCGTTACAAAGATAACACGAGACACTGCATTTTGAAAGCATCTTGTAAACTGCCAGCCATCGGCTCCTGCCTGGACAGCTGCCGCAGCCTCCCAGCTGACTTCATCCCACCCACTCTTGCCTGCTGCAACCAACCTGGCTCTCAAGACAGGCAAAGTGACCTTTTAAAAACACACAATTTGGACTTCGGAGACATGGGTTCAATCCCCGGTCTGGGAAGACCCCGCACGCCTTGGGGGCAACTGAGGCCGAGCACTGCAACTAACTGAAGCCCTTGCGCCGAGAGCCCGCGCTCTACGAGAGAGGCCACCGCAATGAGAAGCCCGCACCCCGCAAGCAGAGAATAGCCCCTGCTCCCCGCAGCTAGGAAAAAGGCCCGGGCGCAGCAACGCAGACCCAGAGCAGCAAAATAATTAATTAAGTAAAACCCACACAGTTTGATCATGTCACCCTCCTGCTCAAATCTCCACCCTCTCTTCCACTACCCTTAGAATAAAGTCGATGTCCTCAGTAAGGGACGTGAGGAAGACTTTGGCTCCTTCCCCAGCCTCATCTTGTGTCGCTTTTCACCAACACCTGCTACTCCTAGAGCTTTAAATCTTCACCAACGCCCTGCCTAGCTAGCTTGTTCCCATCCTTACACTTCATTCCTCAGAGGTCATCTCTGGAGCCCCTCTCATAACACTGGCTTGAATCTAATGAAATTGCCCCTTGAGGGAACAAAAACAGTAGAATACTGGCAATTTTACTTGGTTTAATCTTACAGTAGTTGGTATAATGGCAGTCTTCTCCAGTCAATTATAGACTTGACCAGGGCAGGATCCAGATCTGATCACAGCTTTAATCCCAGTGTCCCACACACAATCCTAGCACACAGTAGGTGCTTCACAGTTTAATTAGTGAGAGGGATTGTTACTACCTTTTCAATACTAAGCACATAATTGATATATTGTCATTGGGAGTATCATGTTTTTGTTCAAATGCTACTGTTCCATAGTAATAAAATATAGCCCCCAAAAAAGATCACCTTTTAAGACTTTCCTGACATTTCTGGAAACCATGACTTTTATTAAGTATAACACATATCATCAGGAATAGAATTGAGCCCACTGATAAGGCATCATTTATGAATTTTTTTCTTTTTCAACTCAAATGTTTCTTACCAAAGGGAAGAATGAAAACTCTCAAAGGAAACCAGATGATTTGGATTTATCTTTTATATATATATATATATGTATATATAACTTTTGCCATGTGACGGCAAAGCAGTTGGGGGGGAACTAGCATACAAAAGGATGTTGGACTTGAAATTGAGGAATTTAAAAACACACTTCCTCATGATATTAAAAAAAGAATACACCTAAAACATCCCCAGATCACCTTGCCAAGTATACCTTATCTTATGTCTCTTCTGAAATGAACACAGCAAAGACCAAGTCCAAACAAGCTGGGATGGACTTCCCTGGTGGTCCAGTGGTTAAGACTCGGGGCTTCCAATGTAGGGGGCCTGGGTTCAATTC